GTCCATTTCTCGCGAAACGACTCGGAGCTCTATTTCTAGCACTGCTCGAATTTGGCAAACGTGTTTGTTGATAGTGTGGAATGCGTCTCCCTTTTTTTTCGCGGAAATCTTCGAGCTCACGTCTCTCCAACGTCTGCGAATCAAAAACACCCAACCCTGTTACGAGTCTCCGTGCCATTCCTCACGCAAACATGATTTCAATAATTTATTCAAGAGATTTCTCTAGATAAGGTCCAAAACCAATTAGTACATTCCAAGCAAAGCTACGACGCATCACGATTGAAGAGTTGAATTCTTCAGTTTCTTCGAATCAAACAATGCTTTGAGTTAATTATTATGAAAATATAAGATTTATTTCGATTTTGCTGATATGTCCCGAACACCACCACTTTCTTTTGCAATGATTGTGTAGGTTTCACCTGAACGACGTTATTTTTCTGGTTCTAACAAGCTAATTTTCAAGTTGGTTGGGTTAATTTTGTCACTGTGGAACATGTTTGATAAAGACGGAAGAAAATATATTAATTTCAGTTGGGAAAGTGATACAAACGAAGCCTTCTATGTATTACAGAAAGCACGGTCGGGCACTGCCATAAAGAAAAAACGATGAGAAAATAATTCCGATTTCAAAGGACTGATATATCGATTAATGATTATAAGAATGACACATTGTATTACAAAATCATTGTATCTTAATTTTTTCTTTTCAATCTTTAACCACTTTCCTGTGTTCTGTACGGATGTTTTAGTCAGAAAGACTTGGGTTGATGAGATTAACAAATATGCATGGGATATTTTTTCGGTTGCATTCGAAAGTTTTTAGATAACTAGAAAAACCAATGCAAAAATTAATTTGCCAACATTGTGTGTATCAGACTGTGCTGCGTAAATTGCAAGATGCTTTGCAAAAATGTTCGAAATCTGCACCCGGTTATATACAATGTATCATATGGTTTTTCGCAAAATTACTGTTCTTTCTATTCAGTTCTGACATTTTTTAAATTGAGTGAAACAAACGCAGATCTGCGTCATAATTGGTTGTTAATGTCTCGAGATAGTATGAAGAAAAGTGTTAAACAAGAACGAAGAAATCCGACATCATTCTTTTATTAGAACAACGAATACTATGTATCTCTTTTTTACATATGTGGACCCGCATTAGCAGGACAGAACATGAGATGACGGTGTAAAAATAAAATGCTCCTGTAATTTTTTGCCAACATTTATCCATCTAGAAACAAATTCCAACATTTGTGGACAATAAAGCAAATTCGCTGACAGGATCCCCAACTTCTCACTTATGAGTATAACTTTGTGGACATCCCTATGCTTTTTAGGTCAACAGTCTAATGTTCTGGGTTGGGATAAAACGCGGATGAACTATGAAGAAATCCGCGTGGGATTAATCTTGGTAATTCTATCTTGTTGGAAGAATGAAGAACGGTTATTTTCCGAGAAGAGCGATGCATCCCGGGTGCATCGTTGGCATTTGTTCCAGCCCATCTTTGAATATCCTGTCTTGAGTTCCCTGCATTTTTGGTTCATGCGTTCTTTGCAGAGAATTCTATGGGTATATTACAGAGATTGCGAAAAAGGGAAAGCCTGCCTCGTTGTTTGAGGCAGTACTGATGGCTCCTTCTTCGACATACGAAGGCAACAGTGTAACGAAGGGGCTTTTCGGGGGTCTCGTGAAACATTCAAGCGTCTGATTTCAAGGATTCAAGCTTTTTCTAGCGATGAAATCGCAAGTTCTGCTGAAACTACGTTTTGGAAATGTATAAAGCATTTCAGATAAAATAAAAATTAATTCATGCTTATGTCTATATAGAGCAGTGTTCATCGACCTTTTTTGGCCTGCGGACCTGCAAATTCCTTTGAAATGTTTTGCGGACTAACAAAGTTTCATAAGGTTTTTGCAGACTCAAAAATGTGTTGACTTTTTCGCCGGCATTCAAAAAGTTGTTGCTTTTCAGCAAACATGGAGTCCAATGAAACAGCTATATACTGGACCAAAATTTACATAGGTTGAATTGAAGAAATGTTCCTCAGAACGAAAAAATTGAAAAATGTTATTTTTACTGGTGAAAGTTTGTCTGACGTGTTATTAGGGGAAACAGCCAACTTTTTTTATTTCATTAGTTAATTTCAACTGCCAATGCCTTTCAGATGAAAATAACAGACTTCACTGCTACTTTTGATGAATTTATTATACTGCAGAAAATTCCTCGCGGATTGGGGGACACACCGGCCTAGAGGATTATTTTTTACGCACTTGGAATATCACTATCCGTCAAATTTAATGGAAGTTATTCTACAATTCGAATTATAAACGGTATATCTTTCTTTTCCTTTTGAGAGGCAGAAACTAGAGACGCGCTTTCGAACAATATTTTTGCTTCTCTGGTGAATAAAGTAATCCAATACGTAATGGTTCGGACGTTGGAAAATGCTTCATTCGACATCAGAACGTATACTGTCGTGTATTAAAAAAGCTTCACAGTGAAAAGCGAAATGCTTTTCGCATACAAATGCCCTTCAGACTACGGAACATCGGGCTGACCCGAATACAAGCGACGTTTTCTTACTCTATCGCCCTCCAGCTTCGTGGATTTTGAACTCGCTTCTCGAGATTTTACAAAACGTTACGAGGGGTTACACGGTTCCGCGCGGATTAGCGTATCGCTGCTGTTCCGGAAAAGCTTGAAAATTCAAAAACGGATCATTTCAAGGCCTGTTTCAACACATGGTTCAAAACGGCGGAGAAGTGGGTTAAAATTGGTGGTGATGAGATGGAGAATGTGTCTGCCTAACCTCTTGAAACTAGTGAACATGAGCAAAATGTTTTAAAAATCCCTGGTGTTCAGATCATTTGGAGCCCGCGCGGAAACGTGTATTTTAAGACACTATTCTCCATGTGTCTCCATAACTCTGAACGAAATGTATCATCAGGGAGCTGGGGGGAAAAAGTCGGTAGATCCCATGAACTTCATGAATACATTTCGAAATACACCGGAAGCTTCTCGGCATTGTATTCGAACGCGAAAAGATTTAAAATTTAAATTGCATCATGGAAATCGCCTTTCGGCCGAGGTGAAATTTCAGTGCGGACGTGATCTGCAGGAAAAATACTGTGCCTTCAGCAGTTCCGGATCCACGGTGTCACTTTCGAATGCTAAATCATTTTGGTATCCTATCATAGCTGAAGAAAACATCAGGCTTCCAGAAAAATAATTTCAGCGTCATTCCCCGAAGCCTCAAAATTGGGTTTTGGTGCACGTGCCGAGGAGGATTTAATTCCTCAAGTCCACGCTGGTGTCTGTGGTGACCTGCGTGGAATTTTATATTTTTAAAAGTTCCCTCAACTAATTCATCATGGAACTAGTCTTTTTGTACTACAGTATTTTGATTGCTGGCCTGAGTAATCGTGAAAGACTTGATGAGATCCCGGAGTGTAAAATATAAATGCACGAAAACGAAAGACTCAAGGAGCGTTAAATTGCAATTAAACCACCCCGAAATGACGCTTTTACTCTTGCTGATTTCAGTGCTCTTTAAGATTCCTTCCTTTCTTTCAATTAATGACGGGGCATTGGGAAAGAGAACCCAAAGCGCTCGGTTCGGAAATTCCGGGCAGGCTCGAGCAGAAACGTTCTGCAGGGTTTGATACCCGGTCACGTGCCACGGGTTTGATTGCGAGCCGGAGCGAAACGCGCCTCCAGCAATGCCACTCAACTCGTCCTGGCACACACTTGCCTTCCTGTGGTGTAATTGACAAGCCATAATATGCCGGCAACAGCTGGGGAACGCCTTTGTGGGTTCACTTCGGATTCGAGCCTGATGCGTGGGCAGAGCCCGAAACTAGAGCCAAACAATCTTTTCATCTTCCGGGACCATCATTTCCCGTGGGTGATTGGGATTGCGTTTCTGGTGTAATTCAAACCCTGGACGGATTGTGTGTAGACAGACATCTTTCACTGAAATTCGGACTGGAGACGAAGTATGATGAGAGGCCATTTTTCATCCTGGTGCCTTGGGAGCAATTTTTTTTGTGGAAATTCTGCGCATGAGCGCGAATCGTGCCACGAAATTTTGAAATTTTTTGAGCGAACGCATTTGTTTTTCGATGAGTAATTTCCTACGGTAAAATCGTGACATTTCCTTTATAAATTTGACTTTCAGAAGATCCTCGGGCAAATAGTTACGTACGCACTTCTTTATGATCTTGAGAGAAAATCAGATACCGTTTATAAATGCTCCATGATGTTTTGATGTGATCTGAGTGAATTTCAAGCATCAAATCAAGTTTCGAATTTCACTGCTTTCTGTTATGAAAATACCCCGAATGCATCGGCGAATTTTCCTCACGAAAATCGTGATCATTCTGTCATTTCATTCGACAAGCGGGTTTCTTTCCGCAGACATGACTATCATTTTATGTTGTTCTGCTCCTTCACACTACGCGAAAACTACGTCCGAGATTGTCCCAAGAACTGGGTAAAAGTAATTTAAAAACTTCCGATTTGTTCCAGATTTCATTCCTGTCACATACGAAAATACTCGTGTTCAAACGCGGCATGTTCTGGAGTGATCTTGAAGATTGGAATCAAATCGGATTTCGTTCAATCTTAATCATGAAGTGTTTTGCGTTCCTGAATTTTCTTTAGCGCGAAAATTGAAGTGACTTCCGTTCAGGTTGTGTTGCTTTCACGCAATTTTTGTGGGGGAATTCAACTCACTCCATCTGGATTCTTCAAAGGTTCAGAATTACATGAATTTGTCTTCGGCCATTTGCCCCCACTTAGAATACCACTCTTCTTTCTTTAGCTGGAATCAATTTCCCGCGATATCGTGAAATCTCTTATTTCAAATTTTTGTGGACATGGTGATTGATTTCGTGGGAACCTGAACAGCAGACCCCAGCGTCCAGGAATTCGGGTCCCGCGAAAGCAAAGAAAGAACCCTCTTCGCTCACGATTTGCGCCGTCCGTTGTCATAGAAAAATGATCTTCAACATGTGCAACTTCTCAGAAGTTTCAGGTTTCTTCCCTCCGGAAGAGGAGAAAGAAAACCTCGACGACGAGTGTGTGTTCTCACGTCGGTGTCGACGCTGCTGGTTCGATAGACTCGTTCTTCCGTTGTCGTGTCCGCGAGGATTTCCCGTCTCCTTGACCTAATTTCCTGTTAGGGGGTTTCTTTTTTTTTCAAGCTCATGCTAATACTTACCCCGAAGTGTGGAGTGTTTTACCCCCCAAAATTTTCGCTCATTGTGCGAAACGCAACACGCAACCCGGGGGTAATTCACTTGTAACCTGACGATCCATTGCCGTGACATGCTCACGACTCTCGATTTGAAAAATTGGATAATTTCCTCGGATCGATTACATGTTACATCGTATTTTGGAAATGACAGAAGGCTTCAATAAGGCATCTGAAATTTTGAAATTTGAATGTTGTCGACGACTCATGAGAAACTTCAATGGGGACTTTTAACCATGAAAATCTCGCTGGATTGTGAATCGAAGCATCATGAAAATTTTTATCGCGACGAAAGAAGCCGAAGGAACCTCCTGAATTTTCAAAAAACTTGTAATCTATTTCCAAAACCATGTTTACTGTCTTTGAAAATTTTTAAAATTGAAGCAACTTTTTTTTTAATTACGTTTGATCCAAGATTAAGATGAATGCATCAGGAAATCAGGAAATTATTCAAAATGGTTCATGCAAGCGTCAAAGAAACACGTATAAAATTCCATTCCTGCCTCATGAAATGCACATTCCCTGCTTTTTCGGTATTTCTTATTTTAATTGTTTTTCATTTGAGAAACAGTTTAACGGAGTGCTGCACTCAATCATTGATTCAATATGCACTTAATTAAATAAGTTAGAATTCAACTGATCATACTAAGCATGTAGAAACTTTCTGTGCTCTGTTCGAAGTTCCTCTTGTATAGGTAAGCACTTGTCAGCGAAGTTTCCCAAATAAAGGATATTTGTCCATGCATTGGAAATCTTTGAGCAGGGTTGCAGAAGTATAACTGAAGTACAGTACTCGTAGCCTCGGACCTCCGGCATTGCGGATTATTATTTCTCGAGAGGCTCTTGTCGAGGCGGGGAATAATTGATAGTTTAGAAGATCATTTCCGGAGAAACGTCGGGAGACGATGAAGGGCTTCGTGCGGGCATTTCTTTTGGCCAGCGAGCCGGTAATTAAAAACGAATTTGGTGCTTTGATTGCAGGTCGAAACAAGTGATCAAGGGAGCGATTCTGGAGAATGATTTCCTCAAGCACTTGGACGGGGCGCAGCTCAAAGCCCTGGTGGACGCCATGGTGCCGAAAGAAGTGCCGCAAGGCTGCTACATTATCCGCGAAGGAGACGCAGGTCAGTCCTTCATTACTCTCTTTCCCGCCTGGTAATTAAATGTAAATACGAGTACTTGTTGATCTCTGAATTTTGATGGATACAGGGTGGGCCGAAAAAGTGGACATATTTTTGGCTTGGAATATCTTCGTATCAAATTTAGCCAATTTTATGTTGAAGAAGAACTTACCTTGACATAAATTTATGGAATTTTGCAAGTGGATCAGTAAATTGATGAAGTAAAGTTTGAAAATGTAGAAATAAAAAGCAGAATCAGCCTGGGACGAGGCCGGGGAACCCTTTTTGGTTTCCCTAGTTTAATTTAGAAAATGTATTGCGATTTTCTGTCCCACAAAAGTTTGACGCACAAATATTAGTTGTTTGGTAGGCCAAAAAAGTGAACCGATTTTTGGCTTGGAATATCTTCGTATGCAATTTAGCTGTGGCAATGAAAAAAAAAACAGCGAGGGAAAGCTGATTCAATTCTCTTTCGAATGGTAATTAGTTTAATGTGCCACGAAATGGTCACAAGAACCGTTTTAATGAAAACTTTCCACACACAAAAAAAGTTGTCAAGCAACTCCTTCCACCAAGCACTATTTCTCCAGCAGAGCTGTTGTTGGGGATAATTGGGGTACAGAACCAGTAAACATTGACAAATGATGACAAACTTGATGGCTGGCCATTTTGATTAACGAGTGAAACTGATTTTTAGCAATCCAGTGTCAGTTCAAACAAATTTGCATGCAGAGGCTCTCAGGAGCCATTAATAGGCTGTTCTGCCTGACTTTTTTTTGTGGAAATTTTTATGTTGAAACGGTTCTTTTTACCATTCTGTGGAACTTGGGAGTCGGGACTTGGGACCAAAAAACTGCATATCGTTTGAAGCATAATTGAACAAGCTTTCGTTTGATGTTTTTTTAATTGCCGCATGCCGGTATATAAATTTTTTACTGAGCTTATTTCAAGTCAAAAATCGGTTTACTTCTTTGGCCCACCCCTGCATACACCGTCGGCATGTCACTAAAGATTCATTCAACTACCGAGGGAAATAAAACTGAACTTCGACGCATGAAATAGGGTTTTTGAGAAATACTCATCTGAAAAAAATATATACATTTTCTATTGAATATTCCTATGTCTGTGCTGCTGTGCTCAGTTAGTGTAACTGGTGTACTTCGGTTGATTGTTATCCTCTGCATCCCTCACATGTATTTTCTGGGTAATTATTTTTCTCGCACTGTAAAAAAATTAAGTAAAATTGCGATTTCCGGGATCACCAGAGGCGAGGAAATAGGTATCAACGCATGTTGCAGAACAGCTTTAAAAAAAATTTTGCGTCGGGAGATTTTTCTCTCGGGTATCATGCGCATTTTACTTCGATAGATAATCATATGATACAATGATTAATTAAAACTTGGTAAATGTCAATTAAAAATGTGTGCCATGGCTTGGAAATGCTATCAGTCCTCTTTAATTTATTTTTTCCTGTCCTCATCTCTCAATTTTTATTCGGGAATATGTATCTCCAAGGAGAAATGCAAAAATAAACGTTCTGATCGGAACATTCTGTGACACGGACCACAACTTTTTGCATGACCTGCATCAGCATCAGTCAAATATCAAAGATTTTGGGCCCTTATTATTTAGTGCGATAAGAAAAAAATATTCATTGAGTTCATTCTGGAAGATGATCATGCTATTTCTGAAAAAATGCAATTGTTATGTGTTCATTTTGTATATCATTGATTTGACTCATCTATGGATTACTCGCGTTTTTGGTCGAGTGGTTTTCGACCCGTTCGTTAAAATTTCCAAATTTAAGATGGCCGTTTGTTGTAAACATTTCACGTGTAACCATATCATGAGAGTATAAACATTCTGGATGCAGGGATTTTCAGACCACAGGAATGCCACCCACCATCTAATGAAGTATGATTTTCCCTGAAGCGTCGTCGTGGCATGCTAATGCAGAGAAGGTTGTTTTTCATTGTTATTCGTGAATCGAAGTGTCCTCTGGGATTTAAAAGAGAAAATCAACATATTCCGTAATATTCTTCCAGGATTAATTAGGGATTCGCCATCATCAAAATATATCTATCACCATAATAGATGAATCTGTCAAGCTGATTAAAAATATTTGTATTTATTGCGAACTCTGAGGTATTACTCGTGGGTAGATGATAATTTATCGTCGGCCATCTCGGCCCTTGGATTTAGTAACGAGAAGATGTCGCAGTTATGAAAGTAAACCAGTTGATTGGGTTCCCAGTGGACTTTTAAATTGTTTGAAAGTGCCAGTTGGTTTGGATATCCTAGACGTGTGCATAGGCGTCCCAAAAAATGCGAATATCTCCCCATTTTTCAAGACGAAATGTCACGTTGAGGATGATTTAAATTTTAAATCGCCGATACAGATAGGAGTATTTAGGTTCCTCGTAAATTTGAAACACGAGGGGGCATAATCTTTTTACATATTTGTAAAGGTTTCCAGAAGCTCCAATGATTTTTACGTGACCTGGAAAACTTGAAAAAAGATTTCCCTGTAATTCGTTAGAAAAGTCAAATCACAATCCGGTCGATAGAAATTATCTTCATTTCAGAATTTTCTTAAAACTGCGATGCTTCACGCTGAGAAAAAAACGACTAGAGAACAGAAACTCTACTCAATTGAAACAATGAATAAATGTAAGACTATTGACCCGCATGATCATTAACTGCTAGTGTGTTTGACAGAAGACATTTGAAAACTTTTCCTGGTGCAAAAGTCTATTTACAATGCATTCGATCCCTTCTCCGCTCAAGAAAGAAAAAACACCACCGAAAGAATGAATAATGGGGCGGGGCTGAAAAGAAAATAAATTCTTTCAATAAAATCTTGATGAAACGTTTCGAACCCAATTGTATCCGAAGGTAAATTGAAGCCCAATCGTAAACACGATCAAGCTCCGTTTTGAGAAGCACTGAATGGGTAAAACAAACAGCGGGGATTTGACGGCAGTCGATAATTATCGGGTCTTTCGCAGTGATGAGATTTTACCGCACCTCTTCCAAGTACTGACCGGCCTGTAATTAAAGCGTTGCTCAATCCCGGGTCTCAAAAGGCGCGGCTAATTTCCGAGCGTGTCGTGGCTGCAGGAAAACAAAATATTGATGCCAGAGTGGCGTTTAAATTCCGACGGACCCTGCAATTTTTTCGCGACGTGCTCCGAAACCCATGGTAACCCGTTAATGAGAAATGGGCCGGAATCCGCTTTGTGGAGCCCCGTGAGATGTTTTCAACGTTACCCACGTCACGACGCAGCGGGCCGCGGGTTTTCAGCGAGGACGAGGTGTCAGGGTTCGACCGGGTAGTGAAAAGTACCCTCGATAGAAAATTGATCATCGTATTTTACGAGGATAATAGACCCCATCCATTCCGAACCGCACCTTAATTTTTTAAAACCACGATCTTAAAAAAAAAAAAAAAAAAAACCGTTAGCGAATCAATATGGTAGAAACTCTTTTGCACGCCGTCTAACACGAAAGTCACACCTTTCCAAATGATAATATTCCCTCACTCCTGAAAAAAACGCAGGAAGCCTCACTTGAATTACATTTCATCCAAAAATAATAAAAAAATAAATACTACGCATAACATATCAATTTGAAAAATTAATTTCAATCGTATCCGTTGTTATTGCCTGCTCTTGGAATCATTAGCTTCCTGTAAATATTGCAATTGGCAATTGAAATGTATTTTGCGTAATAGAAAAAAAAACTCTTTTGGATGCTTTAACGAATTTCTGGCTTACCCATTCATATAGTAGCATATTTTTGCACATTCTAGAATAATTTCAAACACGACATTGAGAAATTGAATTTACGATGAACCCTGAAATTTGTAAAATGAGTTTTCAACTGCCCTAAATAATGTTTGATTAAACTTTCCAGATTTCCATGTTGTATTCAATGAGCGCGACCTCGTTCAGGGATGAATGCGATAGTCGCTTCGTTGTGCAAATACAAAAAAAATAGATGTCGCTAACAAAATCTGCTTGTATTTTTCCAGGTTCTCATCTGTATGTTGGCGCAGAAGGTGATTTGGAGGTCATCAAGGGCGGCAGCGTGCTTGGCCGCGTCGGTCCAGGGAAGATTTTCGGCGAACTGGCGCTGTTGTACAATTGCCAAAGAACGGCTTCCATCAGGGGTTTGTATTTCACAATTACACGTTGTCGATTGCATCGATTTTTGGGCAACGTAATTAATTTCTCGGGCGTCGGCAGCTGTGACCGCGGCCAAGTTATGGTCCCTGGAAAGAAGGGTGTTCCAGGAAGTTATGATGCACACCGGACTTCAGAGGCGCGAAGATAATCTTCATTTCCTTCGATCCGTGCCGCTGTTGCAAAATTTGGCCAATGAAATGCTGATGCGGATCGCAGACGTCCTGGAAGTGGTCAGTTCTGACTTCTGATTCATACTATTTTACTCTTCACTTGCTTTTTCCATTCTCAAAAAGTTTATTTTATACGATAAACCTGCAAGTTACTGATACCTGAATTTAATCTATAATTTCAAAGTACAATATATTCGCGTTATTTGAGGATCGTTAACCTTCGATTGAATGTGCCGGTTTGTTCCGGTTGAACTATAGTTACCGTATTGTCTATTTTCTCATGTTCAGGATTGATGCGACACCTGTTCAAAGTTTTGAAAGTGTTAAGTGCATGTAAGGAATAGATCGAACCCCTAAAATAAGAAAAATTGTTTCGAATGATTCGCTCCGCTATAGGAAAGAGGAGGATTTAATTGAAGTTGTACATTGTTTACGTACGATTTGTCGATAAGTTTCCGAATCCCTGGCTATAAATAAGCAAAAACTACTTTGAATGTGATGGAAATACTACAGTAATATTCTTCGTGTGTTTTGTCTGAAAAAAAGTTTCAACATTTTATTTTTCGACTGTAATATCGTATGTTGAACTGGGTACGGCTGTATGAGTATGTTTTCAAGTGGATCTTGCTCCAGAATAATAAACAGCCTCGAACAGTTAAAAGCCGAAATTCAGATGTTTTTTTTTCTTGCCAAGCAGTGCTTTTCCTTAAAATCCTTCGCAGATTCTACGCTTTGCATGCCACTTAGAATCGATGCCATTTAAAACTAGAATCTAAACCAGTGGTTTCGCTCGAAAATAATGTCCGGGACGAGTTACTGATGCTGTAGGCAGGAACGCAACCGTGCGCGCAATTTTTTTCTTGTTCGCGCGAAACCTACTCTATTGTAAATTAGAAAACTGTTGTCGCGATTATTCACGATCAAATAGGTGTCGCTAACAGTCTTTCAAAACTTGCCTGATCTCTGCTTCCTCCTTCTGCGTATTATAAAATTGCCAAAAGTCTGTCATTTGCTTTTTAGTGTTAACCCGAAAACTCAGGCTCATCATGCGAGAAAAAAAATTGTATCCTTGAAATTTTGCGACTTAAATAATGATCTTCGTTATTCTACAGGAATTTTTCCCACAAGGGGCGTACGTGGTCCGGCAGGGTGGCAAGGGCGACACGTTCTACATCATCAGCAGCGGGGAGGTAAAGGTTACCCAGGTCGTGCCATCGCCGGATGACCCAAACATGACCGTGGAGGAGGAGATCCGGATCCTGGGTCGCGGGGACTATTTCGGCGAGCAAGCTTTAATGCGCGAGGATGTTCGAACTGCCAACGTCATCGCCCTGGACGGCGGGGTCGAGTGCCTCGTCGTCGACCGAGAGTGGGTTCCCGGTTCTCAGAAAAATGGGAAACAGTCTTCATTTTATAACCCTTATTGATTTGTTTGTTTAACTTTTCATTAATTTTTTTTTTAATTCTCAGCTCCTTCACACAACTTATTGGTGACTTGAGAGAACTTCGAGAAAAGAAATACGAGGACTCTGATCGCAGCAGCCGCACTACCAGTGTTTTCAGCAATGCTGCGGAAGACTGTGAGTAATTATCTTTGGTTTTAAATCGAGATAATTCGGCATACACGTGAATGCAAGATTCCGAAAATTTTAAGGAGAGCCTCAGTATTTTAGGCCTGCTGAGAGGTTTAAAATAAAAAAATTTCAGATGTGTTTTTGATTCTTATCGGGACTTGCATTACAGGCATGTTTACGCACAGGATATTTTTTGGTATACTTCACGAGGTTGACATTGAATGTGCGACAATTTTTGAAGGCTTATATAAAGACTTCATGTCGGGTTTGACCTTGACTGCAATTTTAAATCATCTCAAAATTTAGTTTGGTCTTTGGTTCTGGATTAGATAAATTTAAAGATAATGCTTTTTCCTATTTCAGGTTGCTACCTGTGCCTTTTTCTAATTATTAGCGTATTTGCTTGTGATTAGTTTGAAATTTTCACGCAAGAAGCAATTAAATTTAAAACTTTTCTGGTCACCCTCTAACATCCACCTCTTGGATCAGTGTACAGTACTTTTCTTTAAAAAATCTGTTTCTGCTCTCAAATCATCTCTTTTTCTAAAAATCTTGACATAGCATATATGCCAACGTGCTCCTAAATGAAAAGCCCTGATGTAAGACACCTTCAGTTCTGAAAACCCCCCTGTATTTTGAAAAGTAGAATGTGGCTCATAATTTCCTTGTAAATGCTGCATTTCGCTTGTGAATTTGCTGTTCGAACAGTGTATTAATGGCTCTAAAATGTTTGGGTAAAACAGCTTTGACGGAACACAACCACATTTCCATGGATGACCTGAACGTGATCGGAACTCTGGGCGTCGGTGGGTTTGGGCGAGTGGAACTGGTGCAGTATGCGCGAGACAAAACCGCGACGTTTGCCCTGAAATGCCTGAAGAAGCAGCACATTGTGGACACACAACAGCAGATTCATGTCCTGTCCGAAAAGAAGATCATGATGCATTGCCGACATCCTTTCATTGCCAGGTGAGCCGAATGGAAGGCTGTACAGTTCCCGAAAAAAACATATATTGTCTATTCAACAGAAAGTGACGGCATTTTTAATTTTTCAAAAACGCCGTCTGGTTATAAAACGATAGGGGTTAATTCCATTATTTCTTTGTTGTTGTTGCTCGAAAGGATAGTTTTGGACGAATTTCCCTCCGCTTTTGTGAACACAGTCAATTTTATAAGAAATGTGGTAATCAGTCCTACAATCTTTAATCGATGCTCCGAATGACTTATTCACATGGTCATGGATGGCTTTTTATGATTCCCTGCGAGCGAAAAAATTTCTCGATTTGTGGCAGCGATGCTCAGTTTGTTGGCGGAGACCCGAAATTATCTATTTATTCATGCACGAATTTATTCGAAAAGTTTTCAGACTTTCTTTATGGACTCCTATCCAATGCTTTGGACTGTGTTCGCGGGTAATTAATTTTTTAGCTGGATTTTCTTCTGCTTCCCCAGCAATTGCTTGCAATTGCGTTTACCCTCGGGATAATTGTGACACTGTATTGTATTATGATTTAAATTTATTGAATATTTTAACATCCATACTTGGCAATAACCAAGCGAATGTATGCGTTTCATTCTTGCTAACATGAAATGTTTTGGGAATAATTTACAAGTGGGTCGGCCAAATTTTTATACGTGACCAATTAAGCGTGGTAAGAATTTTTTTGATGGGATGACATTTTATTTCACATTGAAACATTTTTAAATCTTCGAAATCGGTTTTTGGAAGTACAGTACCACTGATTGTAGCAAACTTATTTCTGGCGTATGCGGAGATTTGATGTTTGAAGATACATCGCCAATATTGCTGGCACTTTTCCATTACAAAAAATGATCCCCAATCGTCTGCGGAAATTACTCAGGTTGTTCCGGACTTACAAGGACGGCAAATTTGTCTACCTGTTGCTTGAGGCGTTGTTGGGCGGGGAGTTGTGGACAGTGTTGCGGGAACACGGACGTTTTGACGAAAATACGGCTCGGTTCTACGCCGGATGTGTCTTGGAGGCCTTCGAATATTTGCACGGCAAGGGGATCATCTACCGGGATCTCAAGCCGGAAAACCTGCTCATGGATTCTTCCGGATTCGTCAAACTGGCGAGTCATTTCTCTCCTTGAGCCCCAATCTCAGAAAAGTCTAAATTTTTATCTTCACATCTTTACGTTATTCTGATGTTCTTTGACATAGTTTCTTTCTGTCCGCAATCTGAAAAAAATAAGAAACTCGACGAATCGTGACGATCAAATACTTGATTTTAAAAATACCGTAGTTTAATGCTGTATTAAAAATATTTGATGAGGTAGAATTTACGAAATTCTGATGTCCTCTGCTAATTTCCTTTTCCAAAAATGTAACTATATATCAGAAGCTCGACAGAATCGTGAAGATCGATTTCAAAAATTTTGAAACCTTAAGTTAGATGCTTCAGTCGAACTGTTTTTGATGAGGTAGAAATCCGATCAAGAATGAATCAACCCATTTTGATGCATTGCATGTTTGAATTTTTATGCAAGAAAATTTCAGATCGACCGCTCGTTGAGATCCTCTGTTTATCTCTTTTCTTGCACATCTTTTATGACATTTTTATGTTTACTGCTATAGATAAATTAGTACTGTACAGTGCGGTACTTGCATCGAGAAAATTTAAGAAATTATCATGAGTAATTTTTTATCCCAGCTTAGTGCTTTTATGTTCAAATTATTTCTGCAGTAAAATATTTGAACAGGCTTGTTTGATATTTTGACTGCCACTAATTCCTGGAATTTAAAAGTATTTCCAGTTGAGAATCCTCGCATATAATTGTTTCGGCAAAACATCAGGTCGATGAGCACATAAACGCTATATGCTCTTTCAATGGCATGCTTGGAATATAATGCAAAGGTGCAAAACTGACATCGCTCATTGTGCTATTAAAAACTTTTCAGGTTGATTTTGGATTCAGCAAGCGCTTGGGTCCGAGTGAGAAGACCTGGACTTTTTGCGGAACACCGGAATACGTTGCTCCGGAAGTGATTCTTAACAAGGGCCACGATAAAGCCGTCGACTATTGGTCGCTCGGAGTATTTTTATTCGAACTCCTCACTGGAGCGTAAGTTACTTCTTCTGTTTGCTTTGGGACATTTTTTTTCACAAATGTAGGTTAAGCTGCGATAATCAAGTCAACAATCTTGAACATGTGACTGTAAATAATGTGCAACATATCTGAACACCTTGAAAATGAAGAAAATGTGACGGCATTATGTAAAAAACATATTTTAGTCCAGTCATAACCCAAACCTCTAGCCGGAAACTAAAAACTTTCGTTCGGTTGGTGGGCTATTTTAATAAAGGAAAATTCCTGGGCAATTCTTGCAGTTATTGAAGGCTCACGTATTTCATGATTTTAATCTGACTTCAGCGTTTCGGTTTGGAAATTCTAATGAAATTTCCCGCGTCAAGTCGGTTTCATGCTTGCTTAATTTTCAATTAGAATTTTTTCACATGTATTGAGGGATCTTTTGACTGAAATTTCGTCAATAAATTGAAATTTCTAAGAAATGCTGCGACTTGGTAATTGATTGAATCTTTCGGATATACAGTGAGACCCCCACATACGGACGCCTCGACCTGCGGACAATCCGACATAGGGATACTTATTTTCCCAGAAAAAAAATAATAAAAATGGCCCAACATGGGGACACTGACTCGACATAGGGACATTTTGTGATAAAATTGCAAATACATTTCAGGCCAAATTACAAGAAACAGATATTTCCAACCCAAAAATTGATGTAAGAAAAGTTCTTGAGCATTTCTCTCACCAAATCACCATCCATTTAGCTAATTAAAAAAATTACCTCCAGCATAGTGGGACTTCTACTTTTTTTCACTTGAATATTATTTTTGCAGATGCCAAAAGTTCAGTGTACAGTACAGAGATACACTATTCAATGCTCCAAATGTTCTTATTGAGTTGAAAATCTATTCACTAATTCAAATTCAAGTGGCAAACAATTTTTTTCAGGGAATTCTGAAGAAAATTTCTTCCACAAAACACCAATTAAAAATAATATATTGTAAGTATATGGGCAAACAAGACTCGACTTAGGGACATTTCGACTTGGGGACACTCTTGATGCACCAATTATGTCCGCATCTTGAGGTCTCACTTCAATTATATTTTTTTTTTGTTACAGGCCGCCGTTTTCCGGAAGTGACCCCATGCGGACATACAGCGTGATTCTGCGTGGCATCGACTGCATCCCGTTTCCGCGACACATCAGCAGAAACGCGCAAGGAGTCATTCGACGTCTGTGTCGTGACAATCCGTCCGAGCGCCTTGGCTATGGTCGCAACAGCATCGCGGACATTAAAAAACACAAGTGGGTTTTCCCTGAAAATACATTTTCAATTATTTTTCTCAGAATCATTTTATCTTAGTAGCCGTTCAAGAACATTTTAGAAATTCGTCAGACTTGAAATAAAATGAAAACACAGGAGTTAATTTATGTGAAAGATTCGCCAGCAAGTGGATTGCGTCTCTAGATCCTTTTTTCTTCGGGTCATTACGGTATTTCTTTAAATTTATCTATGTGGAAATCAGAATTAATCTCTGCACCGACTCACCAGCAACCCGACAAATTTAACTCAGCACTTTCATGTGTTTGAAGTTATCGCAGAAAATAACATTTCTCCCATTTTTCCTACGCTGTATAATTTGTTCGGGGATTTTTTTTGTTTAAACGCCAAAGATTTTCGAAAAATTTGCACGACTGTTTCGCAGTATAATTTTTCTTTCAAATGACTACTGCCCAAAATCAAGGAGATGCCTTGAGCACATGGCCCACAAGTGCTTCAACATGATATTCATTAATTTTTCTCTCGCCTTCCATAAAGGTTTCATAACTTTTTTAAAACTTTTGAGAATGCTCTCGTGTTTTGCTGAACAAAGCTCGAACAAATATATTTTCCATGCAATTGTCTTCTTCGTGTAGGTGGTTCCAAGGTTTCGACTGGGACGGACTTCGCAACCGCCAACTGCCACCACCAATTGTGCCTCAGGTGCTTTTATTTTTCGTGGTTTTTCTCTGCGAAACATTGGTCAACGTTTTTTACTCGAACCACCGACTTTGCATTCCAGGTCAAAGGACCAGCGGATATCAGCAACTTCGACTCTTATCCCAAAGACTTGGACATCCCGAACGACGAATTGTCAGGCTGGGACAAGGATTTTTGAAAGATGCAAGTGACCAATTTTCACTCGTCGATGTTGGAACGAGTGCGTGACGACATCTTTTCCTGTCGTACCTCCTTCACCGTCGCAACAAAAGCAACAATAAGAAGAAAAAGGCGAAGATCCACTTTTTTTTCCTCGTCACTGTTGCTGTCGATTTTTGATGCCGACACGCTCCGTCCGCAGCTTTTTGCACACGAAAAGAGACGGACTCCTTTCGCGTGATATTAGCGACACTATTACCCATGCACCGCAGAAATGAGAAAATGAATAGCAATCGACTGTCCGCTATTTTGCGTTTTCTGGGACTCTGTCTTTTCTCTGAAATTCTCCTAGAATTCCTGATCGATTTTCCGTGCGCTGTTTTCTTCAATGCGGGATTTACAGTTGGGGTAAAAAAAAAAATTCAAGCGTGATAAACGGACATCGTCGCCTTATTGATGAAACAAAGGAGGGTGCCCAGGAAAAAGATGTGGTTGGAAAAAGAAAATAGCAGCAGGGGAAAGAAAGCAAATGACCTGAAGTTGATTTGCCACGTTTTCGCACCAGATATTTAGTCAGTGGATTCAGCAGAGAGAAAAACGAAGAAAAAACGCTTGCGCTTTTGTCTCTTTGTAACACGAATATGTTTTCTCTCGGGATTCAGAGAAACTTTTCCTTCCTTCTTATCTCGCGAGCAAAAGGATCATCATTTCTCGTCGCGTGATTGACTGCGAAGTATATTTCGTTTTTTTTTCTTTTTTTTTGGAGTGGATCATGCACTGCACTGGCGAGTAAAGATGATTCGTAATATATTCAGCAAAACGTTGCATGCACAACTACAGTACTTTTCAATGCCAAGTTTCGTTGGTTGTGATGTGGAATTTGATCCAAAAATTTGTATTCGTCGCCGCAATCGCTCAGTCTTATTTACGCCTCAGCATTTTCGATCTGCTGATGGCACGCGGAGTTTTGCGGGGACGAGGCAGCTTGTTGACTTTTCTTTCTTGGGCCTCGGTGGGTTTTTATTCTCGGTTATAAAGGATGCGACTTTAGAATGATTTGACGAAATATGCTTAGAGACTCGTCGACTCGCCAGTGGAATGTGAGCCGTGTAACTGTGGATTCGTCTCAGCCCGAGAATGAGTGCAACTGTGATGGAGATTCTAATCCGTTGTATCGCCTGGCGTCGGCATAATTGTTCGCTTTCCGCCCTCTTAGCTTCGCGGGTTCGTCTTTTTTTTTGTATGATCTATCAAGGATACGACGATCGGACAATATTGCGTACGTTGTGTTACTTTTTTCGCGAAGAATCGACGTAATTTAAGGTAAAAAGCAGATGCGCGAAGTATCGATTCTTTCTATTTGGTCCGTCAGTGAGCAACGACGATGCATCCAATAAATTTGATGATCGGAAAAACAGAACATTTCCATTTATTTCAACATTATTGCTGAAGAACAACTGGCTTGTGCTTCCTTCACAGAAAAATTATAATAAGAGGACAGCAAGATACGTGGATAATAAGGCGCCGAATTATATTCACATTGATTTTTATAAAATGTATGACAAGTATACAGCCCACAACAATATACACGGAATATTCATGCTTTTAATTCAATATGAGATCATCGTAAGTTCCTGTCATACGGAAGTGATTTCAAAAATGTCTTCGCGATTCTAGCACGAATATTTTGCCTAAACATAGCACCACGTGTATGAAATATATAATATTTTACTCGTGCAAGTTTTTTACAATGATCTCCAGCATCATTCTGATCTGAATCACTTTTAAAATACAATCAGGGCTTACCAAACCAAGGAGACATATTCTTCGTTCTCCCTTAGGGGTAAAATTGTAATTCAGGGATATAGACCGGTGCATATATTCCTTCTGCTGTAACAAGTGTATGATAACTATTGCTCGGAAAACTAAGGGTTCCCCTAACTTTACACAGCTAGCTTGAATGCCTGAAATGTATCCTGTATGCTGTATTCTCAAGAACAGTAGTGAGTCGCCAAAATAAAGGAGCATCTTGAATCCTTTCTGATTTCAAGTGCTGAAAAACGATCAAAATACGAATCTCGGATAGGACATTTTCGAATCCTCGATGGGCAGAAAAATAAAACAAGCATCCCGGAATGATGATTTAAAAGAATTTAAGTTACGTAAAAACAAAATGTCGGTGGTTAACCCCTATGTTCAGACTGAAAAATCATTCAGGGGAAAGATATATCGTATAATGATCCACGGCACCCTGCGCTTATTTGCGAGTAAAAAATTGCACCATGTTCCCCCTTTTTACTCGCGAATAAGCGCACCCTGCGCCTATCCGCGAGTGATTCCGTTTTCTATTTCTCCGTAATGCTAAAACTCACTCGCGAATAAGCGCAGGTGCGCTTATCCGCGAGTGACAAGCATCCGTTGTACCACTTGCAAACAGATTGTTCATCGGAATCTCGGGAAAAATTCCTTCTGATCATGAGCTGGCCGATTTTCTACATTCTTGAGCAAATTTTATTCTCAAACATCGATTCTGAAAGCCATTTCTTCGCAAAAACACATGGAAAACATGCATACAACTGATCGGCAGTAACATTTGGGGGCCTAATTTTTCCAAGTTTTGGGGACTGTCGGATAAATCAATGCCATAGCCAATGGGAAAAAAATTCAGCGCCTGAAATGGGAAATCAAGCGTATTTCATCCACGAAGTTCGATCTAGAAAGCAACCTTGTATCTGCTGCGGGATACAGAGAAAAAATCCCATTCTATTGCCTGTTCTTGGCTGATTTTCGAAGGATTTTGGATTTTCACAGGAAACACATCGCCGAAATCCAATTGAGACCATTAAACTCTGAAAAATCTGATTCAAAAATCCGTCCTGCCGAAAGACAAACTCATCGCCAAAACTCTAGGGAAATTTACCCTTTAGCAACAGGCAGGTCATTTTAATTCTCTTCAGGGAACTTTCCGCCTCAATTTTTGAAAAGGAAAACGACTTTGCCGCAAAATCTGATGCGAAGCATCCGTTCCATTGACCAGCAGACCAATTCGTCGACAGCAAGCCGATGGTTTCCTCGAATTCTTCACAGCTTATGGACATTCTTCCTTTCAATATAATTGAGACAAATTCGTAGCAAGAATCTGAGGAAAACCTTATTTCGAATCAACGGCTGTTCAAAATTTTCGACATTCGCAGCGATTCTCCTCTCAACCGTTGAGCTGAGAAGCAAATCCTTGCGAAAATCATCACACAGCATCCGTTTCAGCGGCAAGTCGACAAATTCATCGCAGAAATCCACGCTGCGCATCCGTTTTTCCGCCTCGAGGTCAAATTCATCGCTAGAATCTGCGAGGAACTTCCTCTCGGGCAGCGGATTGGACAATTTCATCGCCATTCAAAAGATTTCTTGCCTCAATCGTCGTGCTGAAGGAAAAATCGTCGCAAAAATCACCTTATGACATCCGTTTCAGCGTACGGGAGGCAAATTCATCGCAGAAATCCAAGCTGCGCATCCGTTCAGCCGACATTCGGACAAATTCATCGCAGAAATACAAGCTGCGCATCCGTTCAACAGACTTTCGGACAAATTCATCGCCAGAATCTGCGAGGAACTTCCTCTCGGGCGTAGGATTGGACAATTTCATCGCCATTCAGAAGATTTCTTGCCTAAATCGTCGTGCTAAAGGAAAAATCTTCGCAAAAATCACTTTATGACATCCGTTTCAGCATCCAGGACGCAAATTCATCACAGAAAGCCAAGCTGCGCATCCGTTCAGCCGACATTCGGACAAATTCATCGCCAAAATCCACGAGGAACTTCCTCTCGGGCAGCGGAGCAAGTGGTCAGTTTCATCGCCATTCAGAAAATTTCTTGCCTCAATCGTTGTGCTGACGGAAAAATCCTCGCAAAAATCCCCTTATGACATCCGTTTCGGCGTTCATGAGGCAAATTCATCGCAGAAAGCCAAGCTGCGCATCCGTTTTGGCGGCTTGTTGACAAATTCATCGCCAGAATCTGCGGGGAACTTTCTCTCCCCGTCATAAGACGGACTTAAGGGCATTTCCTACCGTTTAAGTAGCGCTTTTGGGTACGGCGTGTAGGCAAACTGACTGCTAAACCTGTTTAAGTAGCGGTCTTAGGCCCCTTTTATAGAAAAGCCACATTTGGTCTGTCAATTTCGTCGTTCTTCCTATTAAATTTCGCCTAAATTTTTAAATTGAACAACAAATCCTTGCAAAAATTGACCAACCGCATTCGTTTTACCACCCGCATGGACAAAATGTTCATCTTCAAAGGGGATTTTGTCCTTTTCCATTATGAGGACCCCTCACCCGCGAATAGGTGCAGGTGCGCTTATCCGCGAGTGAAATTTAACATTACGGAGAACGAAAAAATTTTTCCTCTCGCGAATAAGCGCAGGGTGCGCTTATTCGCGAGTAAAATTTGGACATTGTGCAATTTTTTACTCGCGTATAAGCGCACCCTGCGCTTATTCGCGAGAGGAAATTTTTTTTCGTTCTCCGTAATGTTAAATTTCACTCGCGGATAAGCGCACCTGCGCTTATACCTGAGTAACTTCTTGGCTCTTCATTAAAAGAAAAATCACGAAATATGGATTGTTTTATTTGTATTAATGGATTTTCTTGGGTGAGGCTTCAGCAGAATAAGTTTATTCAAAAATTCGGCGAAGATGTAGAAGCTCCAGTATTTTTTTTCTCCCACTCAGTCCCTTTTGGACGAGCCTGTACTTTCTTGCATTATTTCGAATGTCGATTTAAAATGAAGACATAGTTTCTGTAGAAAAATTATCCAACTCGTATTTTATAGCTGAAGTTAAAAAATTTGTCTCGTCTTACCGTTGATTTTCGTGCCAGAAGCACAAACTAATTCTGACCTTAAACAATTTTTATTGCCCACTAGCCACGACATTACAATGCATTTAATATCTACATTAACTGCAACATTTTTCGTTCATCAATTAATGTTTCTGCTCTGTTTATTTTCAAGCTGTTACGGAGCCCCTAGGAAAATGCAGTTTTAGCTTTCAGGGCTCTCCGGAGCCCAGGTTATTCAGAATTCATGATGGTGATGGTATTTCCTTATTTAAAAAATAAAAAGCACATTTTGAAGCAAGCCGCTCGTCTTTTATTGCGAAACCATGGTATCTCTAAGCGTACGAGGAGAGTTCCATTATAACTGCAAATTTCGTTCCTGACACACGAAATGTCAATAATAAACTAATCAAGTACTTCGAAAAATTTCAGTGGGACATAAAAACAAAATGTCGGAGGTTAAACCCTATTTTGAGACAGAAAAATCATTAAGGAAAAAAGACTGTATATGATGATCCGCGGCACCCTGCGCTTATTCGCGAGTAAATAGGAGGGAACATGGTAAAAAAAATTTACTCGCGAATAAGCGCACCCTGCGCCTATCCGCGAGTGATTCCGTTTTCTAGATCTTCGTAATGCTAAAAAATCACTCGCGAATAAGTGCAGGTGCGCTTATCCGCGAGTGGTTTTGTACCATTACGGAGAACTACATTTTTTTTTTACTCGCGAATAAGCGCAGGGTCCAACAATCTCCAAAATCTTTGAAAATAAGTAGGCCTCTCTCTTTGACTGCCGATCAGTTGCGCGTATGCTTTTGATTAGCTTTTGCGATGAAATTTCTTTCATCATCAATATTTGAGACAACAATTCGTTCAAAAAGGAAGAAAATTGGCTAGCGCATGCTTACAAGGAATTTTTTCCAGAGTGCGATGAAGAATTTGTTTGCAAGTGATACAACGGACGCTTGTCAGTCGCAGTGATCTTTTACCGGCCATTATCATGGAGAGCTAAAACTTTTTTTTATCGCGAATATGCGCAGGTGCACATATCCGAGAATGATTTTTCAAGGAAATCAAGCGCGTATTTCATTCACAAAGTTCGATCTAGAAAGCCACCTTCTATCTGCGGTATAAAGAAAAAAATTCCCATTTTATTGCCACTTCTTGGATGACTTTCTAATCGAATTTGGATTTTCACAAGAAATTCCTCACCGAAATTACATCAAGACCAATAAATTCTGAAAATTCGATTCATCGTAGAAGAAAATGAACGACAAATTCATCGCCAAACCTCCTGGAATTTTTCCTTTAGCAACAGGCAGGTCATTTTATTTCTCTTCAAGGAATTGTCCGCCTCAATTTTTGAAAAGGAGAATCATTTTGCCGCAAAATCTGATGCGAAATATCGGTTCCATTGACCAATAGAACAATTTGTTGCCAGCAAGCTGCTGGGATCCTCGAATTCTTCACAGCCTCTGGACATTCTTTTGTCTAATATCATTAGGAAGAGCATATTTGTGCCAAATAAATATCAGGCATGGTCTTCTCATCGATCGGATGGCCAATTCATTGCAAAAATTAGCCGGAGG